CGATCTCGGCTCACTGCAACCTCCGCCTCCCGTACTCAAGCAATTCTCATGCCTCAGCCTTCTGTGTAGCTAGGCTTACAGGCGTCTGCCACCACACCCAGCTAATTTTTGTAGTTTTAGTAGAGACGGAGTTTCACCTTATTGATCAGGCTGGTCTCAAACGCCTGACCTCAGGTGATCCAACCGCCTCAGCCTCCCAAAGTGCTGGGATTACAGGCGTGAGCCACCATGCCCCGCCTATGAAGCAGTTTTCTACATGGCCTCTTGGTGAAAGGCACTATAAGATCAAGGACTCAGTAGTTTTTAATACCAAGAGATGACCAGCTCAGCAATACATATTCTTGTGTGGGCTCTCATTTTTTCCCTGCCTCACTCTCCTTTTCCCTTACTCTCGCTTCCTGGGATTGCATCCTATAATAAGGTAGTAGCACATAAACTTTGTCTAAGGCTTTGCTTTCTGGAGAATCCAGCTTAAGACAGTTAGTTGTTCAATGATTGTTGAAAGGTATGGGAAAATCAAAGATCCTTGGTTTGTATTTTTATTTTGAGGCTTAGCACCCCCTAGTGGAATGTACTTTTCACTTTCATTCATCCCGAGAGCCCCCAAAAGGTTTCTTGTGTACTTAACATTAAGCATTCTCAGGCAGAAATAGGTCTGGCTAAAACACCAGGAAATAAGAAGGCTGCACATCTGCTTCTGTTTACTCTAGATGCCAGAGTCTTTACATATCCCTATTAATACCTGGAGGAGTCCATAAAAAAACAGAAAAACTAAGACTAACTCAGTCCGCATCATGTAACGTGAATGAAATATAAATTTAAAAAATCAACTCCGATTGTTTTACAGCAATTCATCTGTTTGACTTCCCAGAGAACCTTCATGAGAAAACAGATTTTCCTGAATGTGTCTGATGTTGCTTTTGCCCCATGCAGTCTGTGTTTCTGTATCAAGCCAGTTGTTACTGATAGCCCATAGTCTTGACCTTGCCAATGCTCAGAGCTGATTTCAAGTACCCCATCTTTATCAATGAGGATTTCATTTCCTTAAATGTCCACCACATTGAACCTGTTGTTAATCTCAGAAATATGTTCACCTGTAGAAGATCATTATATTTTGTTTTTGCTGCCCAATATCCATTTATCCTTTTTGTGGCAGTGGTATCTGAATCTATGTTGGGATATGTAATCCTCCTCCACTTTCATCCATAAACTTCTTTTTGAAAATCGCTTAAGTTCAGGGTCCAGGGTCTAATTAGCACATTTCATCACCACAGTGAATAGTTCAGGGTTGAGCCTATACCCCAATTGAGACCATAAATGCTGAGGAGATTTGATTTTGCATTTTGTGTTTGGCATTTTGAGAAGAGACTTTCCTCTGTCACTGAACTAGTTCTTGT